TGGCATCCTTAAAGCGTAAGAAAAAAACAAAAGCGGAGGCTCAGAAGGCAGCAGCTCAGCACCACTGGGAGTCAGTCCTCTGTGAAGAACAGCACAGGAGACCTTTGGTTTCTCAAAGCTCACTGAGGTCTTGCTGGGAGGCCTATTAACACTCACCCAGGTATTGCTGCAGGGCATATTAACACTCAGCCTAGTAGCTCATTAGTCCTAGCTGTCTGCTGTGTGCATTAACTAACAAATAATTGCTTTGTGCTCCTAAATTGTGTATATCCGCTTACAGAGTTCCTCTGTGCTTGATATAAGCCTGCACCAGATGACCCAGACAAGGAGGTCGTACCACGTTCATGTTGGAACCAGAAGTGGGAGCCGGCTTGGTTCAGTACCCAGCCCGGCAAAGAACAACTTACATGTGACTGAGTCAGGCATCTTCTGCTGTCAGAAGGTCCTTTGCCTGCGTAGCATCAGCGAGGCAACTGGCCTGGGAGAAAACTTTAACTAAAGTAATGAGGCAGTTACCTCTATTACATGTGCCATGGCTTGTTCAAAAACTCAGTGATCTGTCATATTTTCATGTTTTATTTCTGTTATTGGAAGGTGGAAATACAGTCATTGTGTACACAGGAAACCTGAGGCACTCTGACTAGTTTCTACTAATATGTAGGTGCAAACTGATATATATACAGCCTTATCTGACTGTTACATTTTGCTTTAATATAAATCTGTTCCTGCACACCTCTGAGGCAAACCAGAAAATCATAGTTCTACCAAGCAAATGCTCACATGGTTACTGTTTACATAGCAGCTTAATTATGCTGGTTTTAATTTATACCTTAATTTGTGCAATTTCCCAGACTTTGCATGCCTGATGCTTCTAATTTCTCTGGTTTCTCTGGAGATTCTGGTATAACAAAGGAACTTAATCCAATGCATGAATTCACGGAGTTTGTATCTTAAGAGCTCTGCTACATCACAGAAACCCACTGGGAAGAAAATCACTGAGCGTTATTCCAGAGTTGACACTGATGTGTGGTCAGGAACATTTGTACTAATTTTTCCAACCACTTTTGTTTATCCTAGTAGTTCTGGTTCTAGATACTTTTAATCTTGTTTCCTAAGGAGCTGTGCTGCCTGTCATATTGTCCCTCACCACTCTGGAAGTTGCTGTTCAAGTTCAGGTAAATTTGTCAGGTAAATTTCCTAAAAGTTTTGCTGAAAGCAGTGGCTGGACAATATACTGCAGCCCCTACTTAGGGGAAAGCAGCTCTGGTCCATTCTGATAGGCAGCAGCCAACTGGCCTATCAGCAAAACCAGACAAAGATCTATAGGAAACATGTCTCATTACTCAGGAAACAACTTGTATTATGCTTCTGTTTTCCCTGAGAACACTTTAGAGCCGTGACCTAACTGACAAAAACTGTTTTGTGTATGAACTCATGAAGTTTCATGATGTTTCTTGAAACACGGATGAATGGTTTAGTGAATTTGAATTACAGAGAACATGAGAAGATTTTGAACTATCAACGTTGCTGTCAATTTATAAGGAAATGCATGCTATGGTAAGGAAGCTTGATAGGATCCTGAAGCTATTTTATAATGATGCTGTGGGATTATTTATTTGCTCTGGATTTGCTGCAGTGTAAATGAGTACTGGTTTTACTTTGATCTGGTATGGGAGACTGAAACTGTCAGGGGTCAGGAGCATGTGACATCATGGCACAAGCAGGGGTGAAACTCTCCTGTAGCAGAATGGAAGTAAGAGTTGAGGAAGCAATTAATGTCGCCATCCCAACTTAACTGATCATCAATTGAAGTCAATCCCCCAAAGTGCACATCTGAGACTAAGTGACTGCTGTGAGTGTACAGCTGAGAGGTACGCCTCTTTTTAACAGGTCTCGATATGAGGGAGAAGTAGGCTGATCCCTTAAATAGCCTGCATCCTCAGCTGGGCTGGGGCGGGGAGGCAGGAATGAAGTCAAGTCTCAAGCAAGATAAGATTTGGTGTAGTTTTTCAATTGACTAATATTAATGGAAATTAGCGTTAATGGAATCTGGCTCACTAACATTGAGTGAAGTGAGCGAAACAGAAAATGGATTGTTGAAGATTATTATAGTCCTGCCTTTGAAGTTCCTGGCCCTGTTTAATGTTTACCAAGACTCAAACATCAAGGATGTGAACAGCAAAATAAATGAAGGACAGCTGTGACATATCAAAGAAAGGAAGTTCAAATAACTCCAAAGCTCCACAAATAAGACATAAAACAATGAACCGCGAGATAACATAACATGTTGTAACAGTGCACAGTACCAGTGTCAGGCTCTAGTCATCAGGCAGCACATTGGGAGGATGACTTCCCAGGTGTGATGGCAATTGGAGTGCTTGGGAGCTCTACAGTAAAATGTAGTAAGAAAATTGGGCTACTGGAAATCAGGTGTTTAAATGTCAAAGAAAGATGTACACACTAGAAACTTCTGAATGTCTTTCAAAGCACAAGGTGAAAATAAAAATATAATAAAGCTAGCGCTGTAAAAACTGGCACAGCTCCAAAGCTGAATACCATAACTTGTTATCAGCCTGGTGATAACTGCACAGTTCACAGTTGCAGTTCTTGGACATTGTTCTACGAGAGGCTCATTTGATTAAAGGCTCACAAAACTCAGTGAAGGTTTTGGTTTTTCAGCTGAAATGCCACCTGTAATTTTTAAAATTAGCATGTATATTACATTTTCACCCATTAAATAACAGTTTCTCATTGTCTAGACATGCCTGTCCGTGGATGTGCCCATTGTGCTTCAACACGGAGGGTGACCGTGGCAGCTGGACCTGTGGATGTGACAAGAGCTCTGAATGCTGCTTCAGCATGTTGCAGAGTCCTGTGAAACAGTGGTAGAATAACTGTCTACAATGAATGTGCTACATATTCTTCCTAGAAAAATAAAGAGGAAAAAAACCCAAACCAGACAATACAATTCTGCCATTGTATAAATCCATGGTGCACACATATCTTGAATAATGAGAGTCTCTCAAATGTAAGAACTGAGGAATACCACTGAAATGAACAGAAAGTAAATTATGGATAATAGGAGAGAAGACCTTTCTCTGCAACAAATTGTGAAACTTGTGATATGTGGTAGAAGTCAAAATGAGAGCAATCCACAAAAGGGTTAGACAAATCCATAAAGGTTAGATATCCTTGTATCTGTTAATCACAATGTTCAGGTTTTAGTCACAGCTCAGACCCCCTAAATCACCAGAGCACACACTCTTCTGCTCTTCATTGGAGTTGGGTTATTGAGTTAGACATATTTTGACTTTTTTTTGTTTTTTTAAATGAATAGCTAAAATAGCAAAGCAGTAGCTTGCATATTCTATGTTACAGGCATTGATTAATTTGTATTATGTCCCAGTAAAACCGTCATACCTGATGATGTCAGACGGCAAACCCAACAAAGTGGGAGATAACAAGACCAAGGGAAAATTTTAGCCTATTAGTAGAATAACCAAATAGCTCATTGCTATATCATCTAATTGCTGTCTTGTCACTCTTTAACGGGGCACCAGGGAGAGGCAAAACAGTTATATTTAAATAAGGAGAAAATAAACAGTTGTAACCAAACCTAAATAATTGTGTAAACTATACAGTAGCTTGGAGTATCTCAGTGACATAAAACTGGTTCTGTGCTAGAAACAGTGGAGAAGAAAAACTCAAGCACAAAACTAGAGAGCACATGCCAGAATAGCTGGGGCACAAACACCATCAACACTGTTAGGAAGTTATTTTGATAATTTCACAGTACACAGTTGTGACAAACAAGAACCCAGATATCCAATGCTTATGAGACAACTGGTGCTTAGATACCTGTTTCTTTATGTAATTTCTCTGCAAGGATAGCATACATAATCGCAAACAAAGCCGGAGGATCAGTCATGCCACACTGATGTCATTCATGATAAAGTGGGGTAAAACCTGAACAAGCTGGTACCCAGCCTACATTTGTCACTTCTCCCCAAGTCTCAGCCAGTCAGCCAGGACACTCTTAGCTCTTAGAGCATGTCCTCACAGTGTAAACACTGGTGCAACTGGTGGGAAGGTGCTACGATTTCTGTTAACCTTGGCATGAAAGAGCAGAACATTTTTTTCAAGAATGTATTATAGGGACCTTTTAGAGTTAGAGTATATGACAGGCATGCATGTCATTTAATGCACGAGTACATCATGGAAACCTTGCTCCATTTGCATTGTCTGGATAGATTTGCAGAATGTTTCTAACACAGCAAAAATTGTATTTCAGACTCAGCTGATTTTGCTAGTTGGCAAAATTAACAGCAATACTTTACTGCTCATCCTAAAATTTAATCACATAATACACCTGCTGCTAAAATAATTTGAAACAGTGTTCTCATTAGTATCTAGGAGATAAATGTCTACGGTAAATTGAATTAAATGTAATTTAAAAAAAATACTGTGTAAAATCTTTCGTGGCTAATTTCAAGGCTCAATCTGGGAAATTTATTAATAGTGACATCCTAAACAGCAGTGTGTCTCATCTGGCAAGTTATTACATAGTCCCACTTCCTGATTAACTAGTGTCTGCACAGTAGTAACCTGAGAAAGTTTTTTTGCAGTTAATCTATTATTATATCTTGAGGCATTGCTAGGACTACAGTGTATATAAGTATATCCCAGCAAACTACATACCTACAATATCTGTATGAATCTAAAATAAATAAATAGATTAATTAATGTGAAAACCATAGACGTATTATTCAAAAAATATATATATAAAAACTCCAAAACAAACAGGAAGATGCATCAAATATTCTATTTGTGATGAGTATACAATGGAGGAGTGGTGCAGGAAAACGACATTAAAAAATAGGAGGATGAAAACTTGAATGAGGACCATGTCACGACCTGGACTAGGAGCCCAGGGAGGTTCTGTGA